GAGCAAAAAGAAACACAATGCAAACGAGACAAGGGACTGTCAAAATAAAACAGGCAGTAGCACGAACACTGAGACTCAGACACGGTAGCTTTACAATGAGACGAACATAAACAAACTTTCAAAATTCATAAGGTCCACGAAGCACAGGGTCAAAGAGCCAGAAGCAGGACAATACTGTCAAGAGAAAAAAATGGGATTCCTATTTGTTAGAAACATACTGTAGTATAAGCCCTCTGGCAGACTGGCAACCTGGCCAGGGTGGACCCCGCCTCTCACCCTAAAACGGCTGGGCTATCCCCCCCACCACCCTGAAAAAGGATGGGAGGATGGATACTGTAGTATAAGTTATTTACATCCTATCAATTAACTGCTCCTATATAATGTTTGTATACAAAATACAAAACTATTGCCCTGAAAGTAAATAGAGAGTGAGCTGCCTTGGCAGAGTTGCAGTCTTGGACTACTTGTTTTTATATCTTGATGCATGCTCATCATGCAGGTGAGGAAATCCCAGAAAGTAGATTCTGTTCATCTGGACGTAGCGTTTTCTGTGGGAGAAACGTTTCTGATCCAAGTGACTTCTTCAGTCTCAGCTGACTGCTTGGTTGGGAAAACCGACCACAAAAAGAACAAGATAGAATTCACAACAGCAACAAAGAGTCAAACAGTGAAGTGTAGATCATTGGACATGAGGTCTTTCTCTTCCGAGTCCCTGTTAGTACATGAATCAATAATTGATCAGCACACTGATTTACTCTGCCTTACAGAAACCTGGTTACAGCAGGATGATTATGTTAGTTGACATGAATCAACACCCCCGAGTCATTCTAGGTGTCAGAATCCTCAAAGCTGAGGGGAAGATGACAATATTGGATAATAAATACACAGCGGTGGGGAGTAGATTTCATCACAGTAGATGTCTTTCTGAAAGTGCTGTAACGAGGGCTGGACTGGGACAAAAAATCGGCCCGGGCATTTTGACTAGAGACCGGTCAGTTAACCTATATTAATTTTCTGCTTTATAAAAAAAGTCCTCCATAAAATTAGAATCACTATGGAAGCTGAAGGCTCTGCCTC